CTTTGTGCAGGCAGGCAGGCAGGCCAGACCAGACTCTTCTTACTAGTCTGTTATTTTGTGGGTAACACACCTGCATTATTACAGCCTGACCCATGTTTTCCAAATTAACAGAGTTGCTCATTATGCTGGGAGATCGGTGATTGATTGCCTGGCCTTTCCCTGACCTTTCCCAACAAACAAGCACACTCGGGACCAGACACAACATGCCATCACTAAGTAGGGCAATGCCTCTCGCTTAGAAGGCGGATCAGATCTGCCAACAAATCTCAATAGGGACTCAGTTGGAAGTGTGGAGAGCATTTTCATCAGTAACTCACTCGAACCATGAGTGCAATGGCTAAAGGGCATGGAGGGAGCAGGCTGATGGCCTGGTGAGAGGCTCCCTAGAGGGCATTTATGCACAGTGAATTCAAGGAGGGGTGGCAAACTGTTGTGGGCATGTACTGTATGCTCTTTATCTTCAGCTCCAGAAGAAGCTCCTCTCAGAAGTCATCACGGCTGAGGGGGTGCTGCTGGCTGGTAATCTGATCAAGGGAGTGGCAGGGATGTCTAGGAAGCTGATCAGACGCTATCGCTCGTCCTTTACAAGCGTTTTTGCAGGAAGGGCGCTTGCACAAGACTGAGGGGGATGTCATTTGTGTGGAATCAGCAGCAGCAGCCTCGCCGTAGCAGGCATTCTGAGGGCAAAGGCAGAGAGATGTCCTACGTGGGGAGGAAGTGGTTTCGACACACGTTCTCTGTCCTGAAAACAAATGCCTCGGAATGTGGCGAGCTTGTGTTGAAACCACGTCCTCCACATTTCAGAATATATGCTTGTGTCGTTCAACTGAGTGCCCTAGGAGCAGATTCAGCCATACCCAGATAGTAAAATTAAAAAAAAGTTTGAAAGCGAAGGCAGCTGTGTCCTATTTGCCAGTCTCAGCCAGGATGCAGCTTGAGCTGTCGTGTGAATGCTGCTGTTCACACTCTTGAAGCTGAAGTGCAAGCTGCTACAGGAGGCTGAGACCGTGGGGGATCTCGTTATGAGAAAGCTGGAGAATGTCCGTAATTCAAAGTAAATTAAGACATGATGAAAAGTAGTCATCATTTAGGCTTGCTTTTAAGATGGGTTTGTAAAGGCACTGTTCAAAAATCAGCAGGCAATTAATATAAAACAGACGGGATGCGTGAACGTTCATGCACAGACTCAAATAGTCCTATTTAGGCTTGGGTCTTTGGAGTTAAATAAACATGCAAAGGGGGTACTAGCTTTGCCTCTCCATCACTGCCACTACTGCCCGTGATTGGAAGGCAACAGTCTGCAGCAGAGAACCTGCAGTACTCATGTAGCTCCCCTGAATGCAATGCAGAACTCTGAATTTCCACTGAGATAATATGTTGCAGGTACGGTTCTACTCTATCAGTTCTTGGTCTCATTTTTAAGAGTTCCAAAGTTTGAAAAAGCACCTATCTTTTAACAATGGTACCTCAAAATTACAACAATCTGGCTTTAGCACCTGAAGTGGTCTTCGACTCCCATCACACCGTCCGTGACACTTATAAATAGAGGCTTTTATTGGTGAAATATGTATGTATCTCACAGCAGAGTGGCTGCATGGCATGCCGTATATCTATCAGTAGGATTTAGTGTTCAGTTTCTGAAACACTAGAGCACAATACGGAAGGAGGTGGGGGGGGTGTTGAAGAAAAGCATATTTAAAAATAAACCTAGATCTTAACACAATCAAATGTGATTTATAGCAAGTCTCTGTTTCTCTCTTTTCAAATTTAAGCACCGGCGCTGGAAGCTGTTCTTTAAGTTGCCACTATAAATCAAGGAGGTCAGGCAAAACCCTTCCAAGACAAGGGAATACACTTATTGAATTTCACTTGCTCAGATTTCAGATTGACACTATTTACATACAAGACGTGATTTATTCGTTGCAGATTTCCCCCATTTAATGTGTTGTTACTTTTCAAGCCTGGAACATATCACTGTAAATAAGAGCACTTGTACACTCAGGTGTTAGGAGATAGGTCTGCTGCGTGCAACACTCGGGATAACAGAGCCCTGAAATGTGAGCAGGCCATAGAAGATACAGAATGTACTTGAGAGGAGTAACAGTGCCAAAGGAAATCATCCCTCCAAATGCTTAAGTCATATGAGCAAGATCATACACTAAGAACTGTGGAGAAAGCAAATTCTACTGCTGCACCACAGCGGAAACTGTGAAGTTAGAGGCAGGTCCTAGGTATGCCCCGAGGCCTCCACCTTACTAAAACTAAGCAGGTCTGGGTCTGGTCATTGCCTGAATGGGGCTTACCCCCCCCCTTGGAACCACATGTGTACCACCTTGTGTTTCAGGGTGGTAAAAAAAGGAGGGATATAAATGTAATGAAATAAAATATACTTTGCTGTGGACCACACTACAATGATCCTCCAATGTACCATGCTCTGCAGTTAACAACTACAGTGGTACCTTTGGTTACGAACTTAATTCGTTCCGGAGGTCCATTCTTAAACTGAAACGGTTCTTATCCTGAGGCGCACTTTTGCTAATGGGGGTCTCTGGCGCACAATTTCCTTTCGCCTCCTGGGGAAAAGTTTGCAACCAGGAGCAGCTACTTCCAGGTTAGCAGAGCTCGTAACCTGAAGCGTTCGTAGCCAGAAGTGTTCATAAACAGAGGTACCACTGTACAAACACAGGTGTGAAATTTGTTCCTTACTAGCTACTAGGAAAGCAGTAATATATGCTGCTTTTTATTTTTTAAGGTTGGTAAAAATTGGCGAGTTCTTGGCAGTCTTTTTATTTTGTTCGTTTTGCTTTGGACTTGTACAGTGACTGGCATTCCATAGAATGGGATTAAGTGCACTGTACTAGACACAGTTGAATTCAAGGCTTGTATCAGAGGCAGATTTAGGGCAGGGAGAGTGGCTCCCTGCCCCCCTCCCCGGGCTCTGAACTGAGGCGTGTGCTGCAGTGCATTGCAACTATGATGTAGTGCACGTGCAGAAAGGAAGGCACACTGAATTTTGGCCTCACACAAGGTGCTGCTGAAATTTGAAAGACCCAAGTCTGCCTGTGCTTGTATCCTAACACTATGGGGTTTGGGGTTTGCTTGTTTATTTGTTTGCTCTTGTATTGGGAGGTGTCAGATCTGTTTCCAGTGAAACAGAATTGCTGTCCAGAGCAATTGTTGCTGCTGGTCTAAGCTTGAAAGCATAGCAGCGATCTCCTAGGGGCTGAGGTCCCTTTGCCCTCCTCCTCATAAAATATTTGAGGCGGCTGCCCCCTCCCCCCAGTTGATGGGCATTGCCATTCAAATGGTGTGTGTGCTGCATCTTGTGATTGATTGTGAAGAGGGGGCTTACCTGAGTCCCCTCAATATTTATTCAAGTTGGCACTCCTGCTGGAAAGCCAAGAAAAGTCCAGGAATCTAATCAGGCGTACAGCTGATGCTATAAGGAAGAGAGTGCCTGTGCATGTGCAGAATGCAGTTCCATCTACTAGACTAGGGACAGGCTCAGACCCTCCAAGTGTTCCTATTTTCCAGGGACAGTCCCGGATTTACAGAAGGTGTCCTGGTTTGATCCTGGAATGCCCTGCATTTCCTTAGGACGCCCCTATTTTAATCAGGGAAATGTTGGCGGGTATGCCTTAGCCTGACAACAGTCGCGCACCTTTCTTTTGAGGACCAGTGAGCCAGCCACCTATTTGCACTTAAGCAAAGTCACAGAGAAGAACCTAACAACCACCAAACACTTCGTCCTTCTTAAGTCCTGCGTTTAAAGTGCACTTTCTGTCCTAACAAGCACGTGGGGAACGATTCGTTGCAGCAGCAGCGGTGACCCCATTATCTTGATTTCCAGAACGGGACAGGCCAGGACTGGAAAAGCGGGAAAAGTCAGCACCAAGCCCAGGTGAATGAATGGAGCCAGCAGCCGCGGCCAGCGCTTGCGAGCTTCCTTTGTGGCTCCCGCCCCTCGTTCCAAGCCGGAGAGAGGGCACGTAACAATCCCAGATCCCAGTCTCTCCCTGCACGTCCGGCACTGCCCGGGAGCTTTTTCGTGCGCTGCGTTGGATCCCGCGTGTTCCCAGCGCGTGTCCTCGAGGGACGGCTGGATGAGGCGGCGGCGGCGGGAGAAAGAGAGGAAGCCAGGAGGGCGGGAAGGAGGGAGGCGCTGGGCGGGGGCGGAGGCGCCGCTCGCTCCCCGTGGTACGTGTGCACGCTCCCGAGCGGCATGTCCTCGCTCCTCGTATCCGGCGGCGTGTGGCGCGAGCATGGCATTTCCCGCGTGGAGCTCGGGCCCGGCCAGAAGCGGCATGCCGCCGCCGTGGTGAGGCGATGCCGCCCCGCCGGCCGGGAGCGGGACCTGGTCTTGCGCGCAAACCATGGCCGCCTCCGGCGGGGAAGCGGCCGAGCAGCAGCCCCCGGCTGCCGCCCAGCTCCGCGGAGACTCAGTAGAAAGCATGAGGAGGATTTTCATCCGCCACCCGCCCGGGAGCCGCCAGGAGGGGGGCGGAGAGGAGCAGCCCGCCGGGCCGGCCGCAGGCCCCCTCGGAGGCCTCCTGTGCCCCGCCGCGAGCCCGGCGGAGGCCCCGGGTGTCGAGGGCGCTTCGCCCTCCGCCGGCTCCCCGCCTGGCAGCAAAGCTCCTCTCCGAGAGCCCCGCAGAGATGCGCAGAGGCTAGTCTTGCGCTACGTGGTGCCTTGCATGAACGCCTATGGCTTGTGCATAGTCGACCACTTCCTGGGGCACAGGATGGCCGAGAAAATCTTCCAAGAGGTCCTGGCTTTGCACCTGAGTGACAAATTCCAGGACGGCGCCCTGGCGAGCCAGAAGGCGGGCGGCAGCCGAGCCATTCGCGGGGACAAGATTTTGTGGGTTGAGGGCAGTGAGCCGGGCTGTGAAAATATAGGCTACCTCCTGAAAAGAATGGATAAGCTCATCATGTACGCAGATGGCAAGCTGGGGCGCTACAAAATTAGAGGAAGACACAAGGTTAGTAGCTTGCAAGCCTTGACCGAAGTTCACTCCGGGCTCCTCCGGAGTTTCTGATCTCCCTCTCTTGCCATTTCATGTACTCTTCCGAGTCTTAACCACGCAATTCCTGGCCGCTCTGCTACCAGCTGCAACTCGGGCTTGGCATTTGGTCCATCCGCCCAGATCCTAACCCGAGTTCGGTCGCTTTGTGAAACAACTTTAAAACCGTGTAGCGTTCACAGCCTGGCAACCCACGTGGGATTTCCTATATCCACGAACTGGAGAGGTAGTAGCGGGTGATTGTGTATGGCGGGGGGGGGGGGTAACCTCACTACGCTTAAAGACACAGTTTTCTTTTTTTGCTTTTCCCGCCTTCATCCAAAGTTCCCTAGAGTTATTAACCAGGATTTGTGAGCTACAGTTTCAAGGAGAACAAATTTTCTGAAACACTCGTGCGTGCATATACATATATATAACCCCGAACATCTTACTTTAACGGCTTTCTCTAACGTTTAGACAGTACTGGTAATTTCTGAAACGATAGTTACCTTGGCAGGCTATGAGAGTGGGCATATTTTCCTAGCTTTTAGGAGAAGAGGAATGAGATTTAGAATCCAGGTGGTGACAAGTCAGTGAGTGCTCTTTAAACACATCATCTGTAACGAGAGGCTTTTGAAAGCCGGGAACTGGTATTCCGCACGCATGATCTTGTTTGCAAAGCGAATTCCAGCTCTACAATATGTTTTGTCAGCAGATGATCAGGTGTGAAAAGGGCGGAGGATGTCTTGTAGTGGGAGAGGGAGAGAAATAAAAGACGGAGATAAGCACTTGAAACCTCGCTCCCCATCCCTATAGCATTAAGTTGCCAAGAGAAACTCAACTGGCACTTAACGCCCTTATACCCCCCCCTCCGTTTGTTTACATTGGCTTGTAGTATGCGACCGTAGTAGAAGCGTACATGCTGGGGGAGAATTCCTCAATGGCGGAGACCACACCCACTCCGAGTTGTAGGCGGCGCACGACGAACCATAAGCCGCGCCTCCTCCAGACACGCGGCTTTTCCTCTCCGCCCTCTCCCCCACGCCTTGATTCCAGCCGTGAACCCTACGCCGGTTGGACGCTTCCGGCGAAGCCCCGCCCCGCCTCCCTCCTGATTGGTTGCCCTCACGTTCCACAGGGCTGCGGGTAGGCGCGGGGAGAGATTGTCCCCGGGACGGGGCTCCACCCACGTGGCGCTCGCCGCAGAAGTAGGAACACATTCTGCACGTAGCAGACGTATTAATCAGAGAGGGGCCATCTGCTGCCTCGGTGAAATAAATTGAAAGGAGTTTGCAGGACTCGGCACCAAAAAAAAAAAAAAAAAAATATTAGGGGGAGTGATCACATCAGCAATTGCGGGGTGTTCACACACTGGTCTCCCGGCCTTAAAGCTGGTAGAAAAGAGCTGCTTCAGCTTCCTTTTCCAGCAACTGCCTATCTGCCAAGGTGCTGATCCCCCCTGGTATTGGGTGGAGGTCAGTCCGCGGAAGGCGTGCAGCCACCGTTCACTTCATTAGCAAGCCTTGTGTCGCCCAGGGGCTGGGAGAACCCGAGAAGGTGGCTGCTGACTGCGCTGAAGACAAAAGTACGACTTTAGCCAAACTTTTGGGCACGCCGGTTTCTCTGACTGATCTGCTCTGCTCGCTTCTCCCAAGAGTTAGGCATCGCTGCTGGCGCGTGTGGCGGATTCAGTGTGTTAGAATCGCTGATAGAAACCAGGTCTCCTGGCGCGCGCGCCTCCGCCGCTTGGCTTGCGGCTCTTGACTTTCTGCTGCAAGGGGCGAAATCAGTCGGGTTCATGAAAATGCCACTGGGACATATCATGAGATTAGACCTAGAGAGAATTGCCTTGGACTACATAGTGCCTTGTTTGCATGACATTGGTTTTTGCTACCTGGACAATTTTCTGGGCGACTTGGTAGGAGACTGTGTCCTGGAACGTGTGAAGCAGATGCACTATAACGGGGAGCTGCAGGATGGCCAGCTGGCCGGCAAGCGCAACGGGATCTCCAAGAGACACTTGAGGGGAGACCAGATAAAGTGGATCGCAGGCACTGAGGAGGGATGCGAGGCCATCAACTTTCTCTTGTCACTGATAGACAGACTGGTTATGTACTGTGGAAATAGACTTGGCAAATACTATGTGAAAGAGAGGTCCAAGGTAAGAAATTCAAATGGGGGGAAATAGCTAATAACACTTCTAATGTAATGGGAACTTTTAATTTAGGAGCCATTCTTGAATGTTTGGATTATAAGGGGGTTAATATCCTTATTTGCTTTCATACTGATGCTTGGGCTTAATCTTTCCATCATAAACTGCAAAACACAGGTAAGCGATACCAGGGATGGATTTTATGATCCTCCACCCCAAGTTAAAATCCTAAAAAAGTTTATTGTGAATATGCTCCTTTGGAATCAACTGTATTTACTTACTGGTTTGAGAATTTTTCACTTTTTCAGTGCAGCATGTGAATGACAATAATTCACACTGGGGCAGCCAACTTGGTTTAAGTGAGATTATAACAGTGTAACTCGCCCTCCTGTCTCCTAGAAGTGGAAATGCAGGGTGTTGTATTTGTGAGGAATTTGTTTTTTAAAAAATATTACTAATAAGAATTGCAGTATAGCATTGATTATACACATGTAGAAGTTTCCTAGAACTACATTGGCAATTCAAAATGATTTTGAATGGTGCCAAAAGTTTGTATAAGTCCATTGCCTAATTAGATTATCCTTGCTTTCCTGTCACTTTCCACTAAGCTCCAGGTTGGGTTCTTGTGGTGGTCATATGCTGAGTGCTTGTCAGGCTCCTGAGCAGCTTAGCTTGTCTTTAGAAAGGTAATAAAGTTAATCCCTAATTTATGCACATATGTACCAGCAGAGGACACTGCACAGCTGAGTAAATAAACAAAATCCACAACAATTAATAAATTAATTTATGCTGAAAAGTGACCGAAGTGTGGGCCCTTTCATAAACTCCTTTTGGTTTGCATTGATCAAACTGATTGCACAGCTTCAGCCTTCTGTTAGCAATCAGTTTCATACAACTTAAGCCTTTGCATGTCGGAAGTAAATCCTATTGAGCTCAGTGGAATTTCAACTTACTCCCTGGTTAGTGGAGTTAGGATTGCAGCTGTGGAATGCGAAACATATCTGGAAGTGACAACAAAACTCCTGATTAATGGCCATGAGAGGACGTTCTGTAACAGTAGTTAGATTGGTTTCCTTCTTCCTTAGTTTCAGACTTCATTGAAAGCACCAGATAAATTATTTCATTGCTTTTGCTTCCTTCCCTACCACTCAAGAGGTAAAGAAGTAAAATAATGTCATGCATATGTTCAGTTGAACAAAAGCAGTTTTGACAAAAGCCAGCACATTAGCTAGTTTTTGAAAAGTTATTTGGGACTTTCTTCCTCACTTCTGTGTTGCTTATTATTCCAGCATCCTTCATGCTAATGAATGAATAGTTTTACCAGAACTCAACTTTAGGTAGTGACTAAGCCTACAGAAGTATATCTGTAACTCTGCTATAGGCTTAATTATTTACGGTGCAATCCTATGCCTGTCAGAAGTAAGTCTCATTGATTCAAATGAGGCATGCTCCCAGGTAAGTGGGTATGGGATTAAAGTCTTTGGGTTGTGTGCAACTAACTTTGAATTAGAGTAGACCCAGTGATCCATTGCTGTTAACATCAGTGGGTCTACTCTGAGTCAAAGTTGACTACAACCCCATGAATCACAAATAGGACTTGCAACAAAATATTGCAGTGTGGACTGGGTGTATTCAGAGTTCCAGACAACAATGGCCTTTTGCAAGACACTTCAATTGCCCTGGTTTTGTCTTCCCAGTCAGCCAGTGTACTATGGCTACCGAGCATGCTCAGTGAGCTAGTTGGGGTTTTTGCCTCCTCTTACTTTTTTGGGGTGATATATTACATTTTTGTGTTTCAGCAAACCTTGGGACTCTTCTGAACCTCTTATGTATTGATGCATTTTGGCTACAGTCTAATGAGTTTGCTATTAGCATATAGAATTCTTAGATTTCCTTATGTTTACCACAGAAGTAGAAGTTAAACTGAGTTAAAAGTGATCAACCATCACACTGACTGCTAGTAAGCATAGCCACAATCTGTGTGCAGTTTTAGCTATCTACGTAAAGCTGTCTTAAGGTGGTGATTGTAAGCGTGCTTACTAGGGAATAAATCCCGGCTGAATGAATATGGAAGAGAAATCATAACACACATGAATATGGAAGAGAAATCATAACACACATTGCAGCCATGGGAAGTTATATACTGTATTCATGTTAGAAGCTGATTAAACCTCAGTCTTGAAAATAATCTCTGGCCACAATGATTCACACACTTACCTGGAGCCAAGTCCCATTGAACTCAGTTGGACCCCTTCTGAGAAGATGTGCATAGGATGGCACTGTAAGTTTATTTACTTACTTGTATTTATATTCCACCACCTTCTCCAAGGAGCTCACGTTGACACACATGGTCCAAACCCTCCTCCTCTAATCCTTGCCAGATCCATGTGAGGTGGGTTAGGCTGAGAGGCAGTGACTGGTCCAAGGTCACCCAGTGAGCTTCATGGCCAAGTGGGAATTTGAACCCTGGTCTCCCGGGTCTTAGCCTGACACTCTAACCACTATAACTCACATGCTCTCAATTTAAGATTGTTGCTTTAGGCTGTAAGCTGATAACATACCTAGGTGTAAGTCCCATTGAACTCAAATGAGGAAGGGCTATAGCTGTACCTAGGGGTTGATGAAACCCCTGCAGGGTCACGGACCACAGTGTGTGTGTGTGTGTGTGTGTGTGTACGTGTACATACAATATTCAACTGTGGTGTTTGAGTCCTACCACACCACCTGGAGTGGGACGCGGGTGGCACTGTGGGTTAAACCACAGAGCCTAGGACTTGCCGATCAGAAGGTCGGCGGTTCGAATCCCCGCGACGGGGTGAGCTCCCGTTGCTCGGTCCCTGCTCCTGCCAACCTAGCAGTTTGAAAGCACGTCAAAGTGCAAGTAGATAAATAGGTACCGCTCTGGCGGGAAGGTAAACAGCGTTTCCGTGCGCTGCTCTGGTTCGCCAGAAGCGGCTTAGTCATGCTGGCCACATGACCCGCAAGCTGTACGCCGGCTCCCTCGGCCAATAAAGTGAGATGAGCGCCGCAACCCCAGAATTGTCCACGACTGGACCTAATGGTCAGGGGTCCCTTTACCTTTACACCACCTGGGGTGCCCCTCCCCAGCTCAGCACCTCCTTTTCCTGTAGAAGAAATCTGTGAGGATCTCCAGCATAAAAAGCTGCTGCTGCAGGAGGGACAGAATAATGCTAATATAGTCTTTGTTGCCTTTCCGAAGTTTTCTCACGTCAGCTTGGTTTATAAAGTCTGGACTGACTCTGCTTCTGTATAGGGAGCAGTGCAAGCCTCGTCGTGCCTACTCTGAAGTATGTCCCACTTGGAATATAGAAAGTGGCCTTATACCTCGGCCCATCTAGCTCACTATTATCTGACTAACAACAGCTCTCCAAGATTTCAGGCAGGAGTCTCCCCCAGCACTACCTGAAGATGCAGAAATATGCATTAGTTTTCAGTAAGGTTGATGTCAACTTTCCCAGTTACATTATGCATCCGCGTTTTGCATGTCGCACAAAGTCTTAGTAGAAGTAGAAGTGAAGAGGAAATCCCAGTCCGGTTGAAGGGAAGTCCTCTTGGCTGCGTGAAATCTTGACAAATCAAAGTGAGGTGTTTATAAAAAACTAGGAGTAGCAACTAATCCTTATGGTAAATGTCTGCTACTCCCAAGTATTCAGGCCAAAGAAATATTTACATGCAGGCATCATTTCAGTCAGCAATTGCACATGAAAGGCAGACAGCTTGAAACATTGTGCTGCTAAAAGTAAACCCTACTGTAGTTCAGGGCTGCAGCTAAAATGCACAGTACCTCACAAGGTGGTAATTTCCACAAGCAGACTATCTAAAGTAGAATTTAGCATTTGCGTGAATGTTTAATCTCCTGTTCTCACCAGTCACACAGTAGTCCTGCCTTCCAATGTGTGCTCCATGCTATCTATATCACAGTTAGGTTTTCCTTCCCACCCCCTCCCCGGCACTACCATGCAATTTGCCATTGTTACTTTGAACATAGTAACAAAAAACAATAACACACACACACACACACACACGTTTAAAGGGTCATAGATGGTTTAATTCAGGCATAGGCAAACTCGGCCCTCCAGATATTTTTTGGACTACAACTCCCATCATTCCTAGCGAACAGGACCAGTGGTCAGGGATGATGGGAATTGTAGTCTCAAAACACCTGGAGGGCCGAGTTTGCCTATGCCTGGTTTAATTATATGAAAAAGGGCTTCAGATGATGATTGCAGGGCCTGGGTCAGTTCATATCGGTTACTCTAACCATAGTTTGCCATGATATTCATACTGGAGAAATGATGGTTTATGTATTGTTTTATTATCTATGACATTTAGAGTCTGATCTTTGCTGAATGGCCGCAGGGTGAAAATATATATCATAAAAACACAATACAACAATAAAAAATCCACAGCTACTGCAAAAGTCTTTGGTTGTCAATAGTATTGGTGTCGATGCTAAGCACCAAACTATGATTTGAAGTCATGGTTTGAAGCAGGTTTGCAAACCATGGTTTGTTGGTTGATGCCATAGCTAAACATACTTGCCATAGCTCAATGGTGGAGCATCTGCTATGCTTTTAGAAGGTCCCAGGTTGTGTCTCTGGTTAAAGGTTTTCAGGTTGCAGGGCTGGGGAAGATCCCAAAGAGCTGCTGCTAGGCAAAGTAAACAATATTGAGCTCGATGAGCCAGCGCTCTGAATCAGTACATGGCAGTTTTATGTGTTATGTGTCCATTATCCCATCATTACCATCAATTTCCGAGGAGCTGCTTTGGAAAACTTATTGGTTGATTCATAGTGGTTTATGTTCATGTCCACAAGTGTGTCTAAGGCTTGACCTGATAAGAAAACAATCTTATTCAAGACTGTAGCTCACTCCTTATCATTGTTGAGTATTGGGAGCTTAGCTTGGTGAGCTATATCTGTGCCTTTTCTAATTCCCAAGTCTTACTAACCCATTTTATAAACCGTTGCATTGCTCTTTTGGCATAT